TGTTCTATTCAGCTACACAAGCATCCTCTTTAAACTACTAAGAATTGTGCTATAAATGTGACTTTACCCGATTCTTATGTACACCTTAGTAATTTATTGATATGCCGCACAATGTCCTCCTTTTTGGTGCTATAGAAATGGCCACCCTAACTGCAGAGCCGCCATCTTGTCCTCTATGGACTACAACCTGGAGCGCATCGAATTCTCCAGCTGAGTGAGGCGCTCATTCATGTCGGCAGTATGTTGGGCAAGCTGACGAGACAGTCCGCTGATAGCAATCAGCAGTTTCTTCTCGTCAGTCTGCGGGCTGGCCGAAAGTTGTGGACTAAGAGCAGTTGGAGGCGAGTTGAACGCGAGACGTCGTGCAGCCATTGTTCACGTAACAACAAAATACAAACACGGTAACTGGAGATGAAGCTCTTCTGAGTATAGTAACACAAACATGTCTGCTAATATGCTGGTCTCGCGAGAAGTCGTAGTGCACAAAAGCTCACACGTGATTGGACGATGGGGCCGAAGGCTCATCAGGCTCCTCCAATCACATACGACGTCATTGTTATACGGAAGGACTCGCGAGAAGAGCTCGCGTCGCTCCATTCTGGAAGGTGGCGGTAATGCACCTATAAATTGTTTGCAATTGCAATTGTTTGTCTCCATAAGATTGAATTTGAGCAGGTGGACATTAGAGATAATAAATGCAACAACAAGTTTTTGAATCAATATTCTATAAATAATATGTACCCAGGAAGAACAAAAAGCACAGCTCTCTTACAAAATTTTAAGAAATCTATGATAGTCAAAATTAGGACAAATTATTTGAAATTCCCAATTCCTCCTAAATATAAAGAATTACAATTTAAAATAATAAATAACATATATCCTTCAAATGAGTTTTTAAGAGAGAGATTTAAGTTTAATGTTGAGAATTGTGGCTTTTGTACAACTCAATTGGAAACAACTAAACATCTTTTTTATGAATGTAAAGAAGTATTAAACTTATGGGATCAACTTCGAACCTTTCTGTCTTCTAAAACAATAAATTTAGATTTTATTTCCTGGCAAAACATTTAATTCGGTTTATCCATTAAAGAAAAAAAAATTGAAATTTTTAATTAATATTCTAATAATTGTAACAAAGTATTATAACCATAAATGTCGCTATGCAAAATGCTCCCTCTCAATCTCTGCTCTCAAAAATGAACTTTCCCTTTTCAAAAGATGTCTGAGAAAGATGCAGAATTTAAATGCAATTAAATTGTTTGAGTTAATTGAAGAATTTCAGTTGGTAGTCCCCACTGATTAATTTACTTTAACTACTATTATTATTTTATTTATTTTTATTTATTATATTTTATTTTATTTTATACTTTTTTCCAGCCTGTGCATTTAATTTTATTTTTCAAAAGCAGGAGTTGTGATATTTCTTCTTGTATTGAAATATTTGTTATTGACTTGTTATTTGAGATTGTTATTGTTTTCTTATATATTCAATTACAAAAAAAAAAAAAAAGTGGAAATCTAAAAAAAAAAATTAACCATTACAGCCAACTGATTCTGATTAAAACTAATTTTTGAAGTAAATTATTTTGTGTATTTTTTTTTACATAACATTTGCATACACAGTAATCTAGCGTACTTTAATTAAATAAATCAATTCAAGCTAAAATGTAAGAGTCTATAATTAGGCTATACTGAGCCTGATCTATTTCTACCATCTATTTGGGGGATATTTATTGCCACACTTTGGGCCACTTAATACCAATTTAGCATGCTGACCTATGACCTTATGACCACAGTGTACCAATCTTCTGATGGCTACTTCCAACAGGATAATGCGCCATGTTATAAAGTGAATCATCTCAGAATCATTTCTTGAAACTTTTCCACTTAAGTAATTGTGAATTGAGCATATTGACAGACAACATTTTATTTTTTATCTTAAATGCAAATTTAAAAAAAAAAAATTACTGCTCTAAATGTATTGCTCTGTCAGCTAAAGATCTGTTTTGGTCTCTATACTTTAATTAAATAAATCAATTCAAGCTAAAATGTAAGAGGCTATACCTGATCTCTTTAAAACCCCCCCTGCAACCCTGGTTTGCACTTGTATAGCTCACAGCATGTTCATTTACATGTTAAAGCCTCCCCTAGAATTCCATGGGGGGGAGGCATGGGGGGAACACTGCCTAAGAAATTCCACGTCTATTTCTGACAATTTACGGGAGTTTTCGTCGAAGCCTGCAAATTGCCGTAAACTGCCGCTAACCTGAAGTTCCACGACAATCTACAGTGCCGTATATTGACGAAAATCCCACTTTTCATGCAGTGAGACGGGACGTTTTTTAGACGAAAAAATGTTTGCTAGATACTTCGTTATATTAAGATTAACAGCCAGTAGCTGTCACCTACAACGGCTGATGCCGGTGCAGCGGTCCAGACCCATCCCACTTCCTCTGCTCCACCCTGCTTCTTTCCGGAGCGCCTGCCCAAACCAAAGCCTACAGCCTCCGCGGTTCCTCCCGTCTTGCTCTGCTCCGACTTCCTTGAAGCTTGATTCATTAATATTTGATTCATGGAGGGAATAAAAATGCGGTAATGAACGCTTAATTTAATATGACATATTTAAAACTCAGCATCAATCTCATGTTTCTGCCCAAACATTTTCTCTTCGTGGTAGATCCTTGTAAAGAAGATGATTAGGATCATACAACAGTGGTTTGTTCTCTACTTCCAAACTCAGCATCTCTTCATCCATGCCTGCGATAAGAAGTTTGTTTTGCAGTTGCCTGATGCGCTCTTGGAAGCTGTTGTGACTGGATTTGATTAAACTTTTAAGCCTCTTGGCATAAAATAAATATTTTGCTGGATATGAGAAATCTGCTTCCTGTTATATTGAAGTACCAATAGTTTGCATCCAAACCTGTTTTAGTTTTTGGAAATACATTAGAATTATGCTCTACTTTGTAGTTACCGATCTATCATTACCATATTTTAAGTTGAATAATGATTCTTCATCTTCTGTCAGTTATACCTGTTACTAGTGCTTGTGTGGAAATTGGTAACTGGGGTGTTAAAGCAGCGGAAACTTTGCTAAGGTAAAGTAAGGTTTGTGGCTTCGCTACTTATGTATCTCCACAAAGACATACATTTTCACATCAACAGAATCATTGACATATTTGCTCAGAAGCATCCTATAAGGTTGATGTATGTGAGCCTCACTATCATCATCATCATAAAGTTGAAGTTGTTGTATAAGAATAATATTCTTTGTCAAGTCTTACTGTTCTGTGAGAGGGTTGTAGTTTAACTTCACCTTACATGTTCATTGCTTTAACTTTTAATGTTCTTCTTCTTAAGATTAAGTTTTTCTGTTTAAAATATATTCAAAAATCCTTTATCACCATACTAAACTGTTCTAAATTCTAAATTCTATAAATAAACATAGTGTCTGGAAATGAAGAAAAGCTTTGTTTGGATTAATTGTTAAGGATAATTTTGTCTTCAAACTACATTTTAACCCTGTGCATGTTGTTAAACCCAAGAAATAAAATGGACGGACTCTGGCAACCAGTGGGTAACTATCCACAGCATCACGGAGAGAGAGAATCCAGAAAAACAGAGCAAGGTCTTAAGGTTGAAACCATAACCAAGTTCCCAACAATACTATACTGTACTTTACTACTATACTTTTCTTTGCAGTTTTTTTATTGTCATAACATTGTCACAAGTACAAAGCAAAGAAATGAACTCTCTACATTTAACCCATTCCTTTGTGGAGCAGTGGGCGGCCATTGTGTGGTAACCTGACTCCGCCAGATGGATTTGCTCCGCATATCCATCTGGAAACCTTCCGTTGAAGTAATTTTGGGAAGGGCCGAAAATACTGGTTAGCTGATTGGCCTATGTTGGTGATAGATGGGCCAAATAAACCAATTAGATCAACGAAGCATATGACGTAACAGAGCGACGACGAAGAGGAGCCAATTGATAGATCAAACTCTTGCCGAAACCAGTCGGTTTCCTCTGAGAAAAGCCTCCAGAGCAGTGTTTTGCTCTTCTTTCAGTGAAGAAATACTCTGTAATTCCGATAAAACTTGCTCGATAGCCACGCTAACGCTAGTTTCATCGGCTGAAGCCACCATGTTCTTTAGACTGAAATGTCGCGCTTCTCGTTGCGTCACACCTCAACCCGCCTCAAAGCCAACGCTGATTGGACGTTCGTTTGGTGAATGGCTCCAAATTTTCTTTAACGGAGAGTCTCCAGACTGATTAGCGAGTGAAATCTTGAAAGCTCACGAGATCAGGATGGTCTCACGAGGCTAATTGTGTGGTGCCCATTGAGCAGTGTGGGGTTAAGGGTCTTCTTGCTCATGGGGCTTGAACTTAGAACCTCAGGATTCCAAGCTCTATGCCCTAACCACTCGACCACCACTACCCTATACTATACTATATTATACTCTTAATATCTAATATCAAAGACTTTGATTTAAAAAGGAGAGAAATGTATCTTTTTTCATTCACAAATATGCAGTTCTCTACGTTGCTCTTTAAAATTCCCAATATAATAAATTAAATTTTGTGCTTCTCATCTTGCTAAATGTGAAAATATGCGAGTGGTGTGAATACCTTTTCTCTTGGTTTATCACGTTTTCATTATAATATGTAGCGTTAAAAGATAAATCCTAATCATTTAAAATATGTATAGGAGGAAGAAGTTTTAAATGTATGAATTATATCGATCATGAACTTGATATTACTTCTTACAGGAGGGCTGATATGAACAAGTTGTTCTGTTCATAATTTCTAGAATGCTACAGAGCAATTACTGCAAAGAACTTTCCCTTAAAGCAAAGCCTGACTTTTAGGAGACTATATGTTCACAGTGAAAAGAAACCAGTCATCCAAGAAAAGCCTTCCCCCTCACAAGCTACTGTAGCGATTATTTTCTGTGTGGAATATACTTTGAGAACAGCTTGTTAATATTTACTTTCTCCATCCAGGAGGGCCAGGAGCTTATCCAAGAAAAGCCAGAGCTGCGTCCAGTGGTGCAACAGAAGCTGGAGGAAATCAGAGAATGCTGGTCTGACCTGGAGACCACCACAAAGGCCAAGGCCCGGCAGCTCTTCGAAAACAACAAACCTGAGCCTACACTGAAGAGTTACTCTGACCTTGACAGCCAACTCTCCAATCTGGAGCAGCAGCCCCCCCAGCTGGAACAGGCACACCACCTGCCCACCTTCAATGAGCAGCTCCAGAAATTCCAGGCAGGCTTCAAAGCTTTAATGGGTCACTCTGAGAACCCTGAGATACACATTCTAATAGTCTTAAAAAAAATGTCTTAGGTGATCCAGTCCTTCTCATCCTAGTATAACATTATAAAATGTAGTTTGATCAAATGCATCCCACTGAGGCTGCTCTATATGCAAACAAATGCTTACAACTTATATGTATTTCAAATTTTGCACACTTTGTGATGACCAACACTTTTATGAAGCTGGGACTATGTATTAGACCAAAACACTAGTTAGTGCCTGATTGAAGTGGAACACAACAAGATGCATGATTATTCTATCAAAACATTTCTGAAAGGTTGGCAGACTTCTGCATTAAACCCCATTACTGGAGTATTTATTAGAAACCACAAAGATTCAGAAGTCACCTAATTAGATGATACAGTTCACATGTGTGTACTTTTATGTCTCTTTAAACAGAGCTATTCTAGAGGGGACTCAGGGGTTAACATTAGTGAAGAAACAGCATTAGAAGACCCCGGCAGACATAAGAAGAACATTAAAGTAGGGTTGATTAAGACAAAGAAGATCCTAATCGTAGAACAGCTCAGAAAGCTCTGATGAATTCATTATCTGAACATGGCAAATGGATAGACCAGATATGGCTGCACCTAAACAGGAGAGCAGGAATCAGAGAAGCACAGACCAGTTGGGAGTATCTGTGTATATACCAGCTGGACTTCACCCATCACAGTTATGTTCCACTTTTTGCCTATTGAACTGGTATGAATATTTCCTCTGGGCTCTGTTCAGTTTTGCCTACAGTGGCAGTTGCTGGCATGCTGTCATAGAAAATGTTCTGTGACATTAAAATATGCCCTATAGGCTTTTAAGTGAGGCAAACCATTACATAACCATGATATGTTCTGACACAAAAAAAACAGTTATGATGTTGTTTTTTCCCCATTGCTGCAATATGACGTTTCACTTCCGTTGCTTTGCAGGCAATGGAGTCCCAGATAGGTGACTTCTACAAGGATATGGGGGAGCTGGGAAGCTTGCAGAGTCTGAGCCTGCCCCATCAAGGCCTGATGGCAAGTGAAAAGGAGGGTGCTGAGCAGTCGGGTGAGGTGGAAACCCGCATTGTTCGTCTTATTGAACCCTTAAAGGAGAGACGCCGTATCCTCCTGGCTTCTAAGGAAATGCACCAGGTTGCCCAGGATCTGGAGGATGAAATTGTAAGTTTTACATCGTCTGTTATTGGAAAAAGTTTATTCTTTTTTATCAATAAGTTACTGGCAACAAGATAGTTTTACATAAGTTCACAACATTGTTGGAAGCCCCAATTTAATGAAAGAAAATCCCCAAAAGTTGCAAAAATCAATTAAATATGATGAAAGTAAAAATAGTACCTAGAATTTCCATCAAAATAAACTAATTTAATCTTGAAACAGGCTGGGACAAAAATTATTGTAACCAATAAAATACTGAAAATGATGTGAGCAGAGGGTTATGTTTATTTAAGGTGTGTTTACTCATAGCATCGCAAGTGTCTAAAATCTAGTAATCAGACAGTGGCCCTATAGTATGTGCCAGTTATTTAAGGAGGTATTCCCTTTGATCTCCTCCTCCATTTTAGATGTGATTCATCTATCCCTTTTACAGGGATATGTACCAAAGGCTTTTAAGGCTGCTGTAATTAAACCTTTACTTAAGAAACCATCTCTTGACCCAGATGACTTCCTCAATTATAGACCTATATCCAATCCTCCTATCTTTTATAAAATTCTTGAGAAACTAGTTGCCAAACAAGTGTGTGACCACCTACACCATAATAAACATTGCACTGAACATAGCACTGAAACAGCTCTGGTGAAAGTCACTAATGTATTCTCATGACCTCAGATAATGGACTGTCTGTACATGTCCTGTTAGTCTCAGTGCTGGATTTGATCCAGTTGATCATAATATTCTATTAGAAAGACTTAAATATTTTGTAGGAATTAAAGGAACAGCACTAGAGTGGTTTAAATCGTATCCACCTGAACGATTTCAGTTTGTTCATGGTAATGATAATTCCTCCTCATGCTCCAGGTTTACCTTTGGAGTACCACAGGGATCAGAGCTAGGACTATGGAGTGTAATCGGTCTCAATTTTCACAAATACACATATGTGATTCATACATGCACAGGACAAGTTCCACACACACACAGCACGATTCACGCGAGCATACAAGATTCACACATCAACAGCACATGATTCGCCAAATTATTTCTGGTCCATAAACAATGATAAATTAAATTACAAAGTACCATTGGTCTTTAAACTCCACTGCATTTGTGTATGGATTTTTGAGACTCCTCTGACGTGGCTCGATACATAAATGCATTTTTTTTATGCAGGGCAATGTTTGCAACCAATCCCAGAGCACCCTTGTATAAACCATTCACAAGAAAGTAATCCATGTCGGATGACTATTTGCTCCGCTCCGGTATTCTATTAGCTCACCGTACACCGTTTAAGTTTTAAGGTATAATGCATGTAAAGTGTCCTTTGAAACAGCAGCAGAAAAATTTAAATAAACCAGAGATCCATCCATTCATTTTCTGACACGGTTTTTAAGTGGGGTCGCAAGGGGTGCTGGTGCCTATCTCCAGCTGTCTACGGGCAAGAGGCGGGGTCCACCCTGGACAGGATCGCCAGTCCATCGCAGGAATAAACCAGAGATATTAAATGCAATTGAAACAGTGAAGTTTAAACCAAGTTTACAGTGAAAAATTAACAATATAGTGATGCTGGAATGAATGGGTCAGCTTAGCTGCACAGGACACCCAGTTCTGGGGCAACCCAGCAAGAACAAAAAGGTTCAAAGACTCACAAAAGCCATCTTGGAGCTAATAATGCTACCCAGTCCAACCATAGTAGCCTAACTTTTCAAACAAATGGAAAAAAGGAAGTAAGAAGACGGTATCACACAGAATTGATCTTTCAGTCAGGCTCATTGGAAGGGTATAGAATCGATTCGGCCTAGGAACACTGTCCGCTCATCCAGCAGGCCGCTCTACGAGAGATTTGAGTTATTCTAATGCAAACGACCAAAGCAGATCTGCAGGTCTTCATTTTATCACTTGTAGCAGCCGAACCAAAGGGTCACGGTCCGGTGGTATCACCGTTCAAGACAGCAGCAGAACCAGAGTCAAACAGCTCAGCGGCCTATGGGACTCCTTGCTCAAAACAGAATAGAAATTGGACCCAGCTGTTCCGTTGGGCAACTTGAACTGGAGAGTTTTACTCATCTGCTTCACCAGGCGGGCTGAAAACCATGCATTTAATCTGGTTTGATCCTTGTGAGGAGTGAGAGTCGGTTGCTTCAGTAACCTCTGTCGCAGGGATGCGACGTCAGGGGGAGTTACTCCTGCTTACGTCATTCACGTTTGATTCTAAACCTTGGTGTTATTTTTGATCAGAGCCTTTCAAGGAAGCTCTACAATTTCCTTATTCATCTGCAGAATATTGTAAATATTAGAAATGTCCTGTCCAGGGGTGATGCTAAGAAACTAGTCCATGCATTTTTTTTCTTCAAGGCTGGACTATTGTAATTCTTTACTATCAGGAAGTCCACAAACTGTATTCAAAAGCCTTCAGCTGGTCAAAACTGTTGCAGAATTCTGATGAAAATTAAAAAGAGAGCTCATATCTCTCCTATCCTAGCTTCTCTTCAATGGCTTCCCGTTAAATCTAATATAGAATTTAAAATCCTAGCCACATGAACAAAGATGTTCCTGTAGCTAAAGTTGCAAATGATATGCTGAAATGTAGTATCCACAGTGCTGTAGACAACCTCCCTAAACGTGGCCACGTAAAAATTAATTAAAAGTGACAGATAATAATAATGGTAACAAAAGAGGCCAAAAAGGCTTCTAAAGAGATTAAATATGAATTTCATGTCCAAGAAATATCCATATCAGATTCTATCCTCCATTGCTGTTTTAGCCAAAGTGAATTTAATGGGAGTGACCAAGGAGGACACCATTGCTGAAAACAAATCATTTAAAAGCTGGACTGGGATTTGCCAAACTATATGGTGACAGGCCACAAAGATTCTGAGAGAATGACCACTGGAGAGATGAGACAAAGTTTAACTTTTTCCCAAAGCATATCAGCTCTTCGTTCACGGATGGAAAATCGAAGCATATCACAAAGAGTTTCTGACATTTTTAGGACGATTTTCCAGTCGTATGAGGATTTCTTGGATCAGGCTGCGTTTCAACCTCATCTTTGGTCCTGCGTCGTGTAGTACACAGGAGGTAACGAGGGGCGATTAGCCTCTCATGACCACCTCCCCATTTGGAATCGTAAGGTCGGGAGAAAATCCAACATGTTGGAAATTCAGTTGTGCGAGAATCTATGAGCCAATTCACCAAAACCTTGCGCACGCCGCATGTGCAAGTAAGGAGTTCTTCTTCTTCCAGATTGAGTCCGACCAGCGCCATCTTTCTGTGCTGAGTCCGTCATTTGGTTTCTGGACCCACATTGTGGGCAGATAGATCTCATTGGAGCGTCGGGCCATACACTGGAAGAACATAAACCGTGAGCGGTGAAGTTTTAAACCCTGCAGTTTTGTCATACAGTTTGAGCTTTATCTGAGTACAATGATTCAAAATATCGTACAGGGTATGTCCATCCAAAGAGCCTTCTGTGAGCCCAGACCTAAACCCTATTGAGCATCTTTGGAAGACGCTGAGACATGCCGTCTGGTAAAGGTCCCCTTCATATTTGAAAGAACTTGACAAGTTTGCTCATGAGGAGTGGAAAAAAACACCTTCTGAGAGGAGCAGAAGTCTCACTGACTTACAGAAAACTTTTGATTGGCTCAGAAGGTTGTGCAACAAAATATTAAGTCAAGGGCACCACCATTTTTCCAAAAAAGAAAAGAAAAAAAGGTAAATATAAAGCACAGGACTTTGTTTTCCAAGTTTGAAGATGTTTTCCTTTCCATCTGGGAAGCATAATCAATTCCAAAAATGAAAAAGGTTCCCGGATGGAAGTCCAGTGGTTTGTTTTTATCTTTTTTATCTTTTTTGGAATAATTATGACCTGGATGACTGGGAATCTTCACCAGCACAACACCGTTTTTGTCCAGGCCTGTTTCATGTTTTTTTTTTTATAATTTTGATTATTAGATTTAAAGTATTTCTGTGACCACTGTGGGCTTTGAACGAGGGGTATCAACAATTTTCTCCCCATATGCAAGTCTGTAGTCTAAATCCAGTCATTCTGGACTTCCAATTATCCTAAACTATGCATTTCAACAATTACAATTACATTAAAGTTACATTTAAAAAAATTTTAAAAATAAAACACCTTCAATTGTTTAGACGGTTTGTATCACTCTTCCCTCAAGAAGAAGGTCCAGAGTTGGATTAGCATCCTAGGCTCCGTCAGCATGTTCTTCCTGTGCATGTGAGGGTTTTCTCCAGATTCTCTTCTCAAAAATTCAAAAAATGTATTAAATGCACTCTGGCAGCCTGTCCAGGGTGTGTCCAGCCTTACACCAACCAACCATATTTCCTAAATATTCCAATATTCCATTATTCCATTATCAACACAGACCTATATATAAAGATAAACCACCACTGACATTTGAATAAACTTCCATTCTACCGCTGAATCACGTGTTTATTGTAGCCAATAACCAACTGCTGGCAGAAATTGGAAAAAAAAACTGTGATCACTTAGCAAAGCATAATAATGTGCAGCTGGTCCCATTGAGTCAAGTCAATTGTCCTCAGTGGAGAAAACTTCCCAATTTGACCACTTAGGAAAAACGAATTAATTATTTGGAGGAGCTAGGTTCATATTTTCAGCTGTGATTAGGTTTTTAAAATGTGCATTCTAAAAATACATATTCTAAAAAAATGTTTTCTTTGTTTAAGCTATGGATCCAAGCAAGGCTTCCTTTAGCATCAGGCAAAGATTATGGGAACAGCCTCCAGAGTGTGCAGCAGCATGTCAAAAAGCACCAGGTACACATCATGTTTAACCTCTGGTTACACTTACCTGACAGGTAGACCTTTATACCCTTAGAACCTCTTTGTGATTGGTCCAACAGACACTTCAGAGAGAGCTGACAGGGCGCCGGGCTCGGATTGAAGAGGTTTTAGACCGGGCTGCAATCATCGCCTCCCTAAGAACTCCCGAGGTGGACTTTGTGCGTGAGGGAGCTGGACACGTGCGCCAGCTGTGGGAGGTGTTGCAGCTGGAGACAGAAAGGCGCTCTGTGATGTTGGATGCGGCCCTGCAGTCTCAGCAGTACTACAGTGAGGCTGCTAAAGTGGAGTCCTGGCTGTCAGGACAAAAGCTCCATGTTGCTAATGAAGAGCAAGGCTCTGTGCGTGCGGTTCTAATATTAAAACAGTGTTTACCATACAAATTGACATTACAGTGAATATGTTACATCTGTTATAGCTTGACATTATGGTGACCTTTTACAGGATGAAGCAAGCACCCTGCAGCTGCTAAAGGCCCACTTGGCTCTGGAGCAAACAGTTGAAACATATGCAGAGACAGTAGGCATGCTCTCCCAGCAATGCCAGCATTTATTGGAGCTGGGACACCCAGAGAGGTGTGATCTAAACACTGAACTTATTCTTTAGGGCAATACAAAAGTTTTTGCCAAGTCACTAGTCTCTTCTGTTTATTGTTTTGTCATACTTAAATGTTTTAGATAATTAGAAATAAGAAAACTTTTTTTAAACAAAATAGAGTTTTCAGATTATACCTTTAGAGAAAGGTACTGAAAAAAATCTGGCTCCAGGATTACTGTGAAAAAATAATCCCCCTAGCTATATGAAAAATGAACAGATGTTTTTTCTTTTCATTTTCACTAATGACACCCAGTCTTACGTTTGTAATCTGGAATAGAATTGAAATTGAACCTGTCTGAATACATGAAGAAAGGATTAGGAAGCTCAAAATTGGGAATCTAGAATGTTCAAATGTTTGTCTGCTTTCCTAGAGATTATAATAAAGAAAGGAATTTGACCACAGTGGGATTAGGCCTGGGTGTTTTTTTTAGGAACCTGACGATTTAATCTAATTTAGACTCTTTGGACAACAATCCAATGCAATATTTATTGAATATTGAATATTTAAATGTTTCTAAGTGCTTTATTTCTTACATTTATTCATTTATCATATAGTAAACAGGAACAGCTAAAGTACACCAGTGCAGATATTTATGAGTAATTAAATATTGATACAGAATACACAAGTAAAAACAGGATATCACTTCATTAGTAAAGTCCTTGTGAGCCTAAATTAAGTTCATTTCTGCATAAGAACATGAATATTTTACATAGATTTTGAATAGTAAAAAATCTGATCATAAAGCATTAACATAGGTTAATTGTCTTATAGTGCATCTGGGAAAGAAAAAGTAAAATAATTAAAATATATGACAGGTTAAGTTGTCCTTTTAATTGAAAAATATTGGCCTATGAATGTAAATGCTCACGTGATATCACAACTAAGTATGAATCTTGAACTTGACAACCATAGTTTAGCTTGAAGAATTTGGAATAAGAAAAATTAAGTTTTTAAGCTAATGTAGAATAATTGGAGCCAATTCACTGATACATATCTAAAAGGGAAATAAAACATAAATTGGTTTTTAAATACTTGAAAGAATGACTCACCTATTCAGATATAAACAACTTTATTGGTGTAAAAAAATAAAAGAAAGCATTATAATTAGAAACAGAAACGGATATGGAAAATTAACAAGGACACCCAACCCCCATGAACCTGGAATCTTGCCTGGTTTGGTACATTTGGGCCTCAATTGCTTTGGTGCTGCCAACATGATCAGAGTTTAAACAACATGATCATATTTAAATTTGGAAACAAAGTCCATTGGATTGTTTTTTTTTTTTTTTTTTACTTTTTTGGAATATTTGGTTTTCTTTGAGTGTGGTTTTCCATAACCAAGTGGAGTTTGCAGTGAAGAGTGTTAGGGTGCTGTTGATGTTGTACAGCTTTAGGCATTCCAGGATCCGTGCCTTTGCCATTGAGTGACACTTTCTTGTAATCAACCCAGGCAGAGCACAGGTTTGTCTGGTTTTGCAGTCTTGGGTGACTGTGTTGTGACTAGGAGTTGATGTTCTGCTCCTTTGGTGATTTTGCCAATGTTTCTGCACCTCTCTCATGTGTTAATCCATGCCTGCCAGGAGCTTCTGGTTGGGATTGTGCTCTTTTGGGGGACTTTCATGATCAGGGCTGTTTGACCCTTGGTCAGCCATTAAGTCAGCTGCTTCAGCCAGTAGGTGCGGATCATGTCTGGGCCTGGTGCTGTCCAGATCATCATACCTGAGAGTCTTTGTTGGAGGTCTGGCATTGAGATGTTTATTGGACCTTGTTAACCAGGTTAGCATGTCCAGCTTGTACATCATTTTTTGTGATGCTTCTTTCTTTCATATACCTTTCCAGCATTGTTTGGTATCTAACCTTGGCAGGTTGGGATGTGTATTATTATTACCCTGCCAATGGGAGTACACCTTGCCTGGTTCAGTGGGGAACAACCTGTTTATCTGTCTGGCTTCCATCTCTTTGTTTTACCCTTTTGACTCAGGTAGCCAAGGCTTGGAATGTTAAGCTGTAACTTCAGACAGTGGGTATCGAAGCCCCCATAGTTCACAGTCTTTTGATATAGCTCTGCAGGGTAGGGTTAGTTGAGGCAATTAACACAGTAACATATTTTAACACATTCATTTTGATTAATTAATTGGAAACCTGAGCTGCATGGTGATGCAGTTGGTAGCCCTTCTCTCAAAAGTGTGACCACATTAATTACTCAATTCTATGCATTACACAAAAACAGTATAACACTTCAACATATTAAATCTCTAAAGGTAGATTAAATAATATATAACTGAGCTCAATCTGTCTTATTTTATGTTCTCAGGCAGTGGAGTGGGTCAAAAGTAACCCATACTGGTTATTTTCAGCGCAGCCGCTGGGCAGTTATAGCACTAGCCCAGTTGTAATTAACTTGACCCAGCCAGATGTTTTGCTCCATTACAACCAAACAGATGGGTGATATATTCTACCCAAATTCTGGGTCAAATTAACCTTAGTTCTTGTTTATTTGACCAGCTACATACATGTTTTTTAGTAATCTTTTTAAATACTTTTTAAAATTGTCCAATTCCTCAGATTAATTCTATGATATTAAGGCACAATCATTTGGAAAATCAATTGCAGTAGACAGCAGTAGATAGCACTCTTACCTAGCATCAAGAAGGTTAAGGGTTTGATTTGACGTCCAGGATGTTTCTGCATGGAGTGTGCTTGTTCGCTGGTGCATGTGTGGGTTTTCCCCGGGTACTCTAGCTTCCTCTCTTTTGGGTTGTGTGGAGTTTTTAGAGGACCCAAATGCAGAGATGGATGGTGAAATGGTTTGTGCAGATTTAATAAGGAGTAGTACAACAGAAGCATGATTTCTAAGATAACTGATCAAACAGCACAGGAACCAGAACAATTGGTACAACTGATACAGTTTGTTCCTGTGGGATCAATAAAGTATTTTTGTATTAAATTAAATTGTCTTGTATTGAACTGAATTTCAGAATTTTGAAGAAGACAGAATTTTGTTTCAGCTGAAAATGTGTTTAAACTAAAACATTTAAGTTTGACAAAAACAAAAAGCAAAAAGAAGAGAAATGTGTGAGGGAGTAAAATTTCTCTATTGCATATTTATAGACTGCTCACAGTACAGTTCTAACTTTGTTATTTCTTTCCTTTTTAACAGTGAGCAAATTACTAAGCAGCAGTCTCACATAGATCGGCTATATGTGTCACTGAAAGACATGGTGGAGCACAGAAAAACCAGGCTAGAGCAGCAGTATTGGCTCTACCAGCTCAACAAAGAAGTTGAGGAGTTGGAGAAATGGATTACAGAGCGTGAAGCTGTGGCAAGTTCTACTGAGCTGGGCAACGACCTGGAGGAAGTAACGGTCAGTTGATGAATAAAGTTCTACAATCTGTTTTATTTCAGATAATAAACCTGAGGATAACAAATGGTCCATCCTCTGAAAACACAAATAAATAAATAAATAAAATACCCACAATGAATTTCAGTTTGACTGTTGTTGAACTTCAGAGTATGAGGTGAAAAAGTTTTTACTCTTTTTATTTTATTTTATTTTTTTATTATTATTTTAGCTCTTCTTTTTTCTCCTTTATAATTGCTTCTCAAGTCCTTGCTCCTCTCTTAATTGTGAATACATTAATTACTCAACCGCATGACACAAAATCAGCATTAAACTTAAACATATCTAAGATATTCTACCAAAATGCTGAGTCAAATTAACCATAGTTCTTGTTTTTTTCCCTTGCTACATACACTTCTTAAGTAATATATTTAAATGCTAGGTAAAACATTACAAGAACATATAATTATAACACATTACAGTTCAATCATTTGGAAGATCAATTGCAGCAGGCTGTCCATATCTATAAAAGTCTTTAACAACCTTTTTTTTTTTTTTGCAAAGGCCATGTGGCATTAACAATAATTGTCTTGATGCCAAAAAAGAGCCCAACAGATTTTGCTTTCACAAGTGGAGCAGTACGGCTACCGCCATAGTATTCCGCTTGATTTATGCATATAAATAGCTTTATTATAATTCATGCAGGGAGTATTACAGGTTTTTATGGACAATAAAATGAAAGTAGAACAGGAAAGGAAAACAGAAAAAAAGGAGAAATGATTAAAGAAAGAGGAGATAAAAGAGGAGATAAAAGGTAAAACGATGACAATAAAACGGTAATGGTAACGGTAACAATAAAACATCTTAAGTCTGCTTCATCACCTGTAAAGAGTTGTGAAAAGAACAGCACAACCAATGGATATAGTATAAGCGATACAATAAAGTAACACCATGGTACTGTAGCTGAAGTATAAGTAGTATTCTCTCTATGCTCTCTGTATGGAAGTGAATCTCTAAGTACCTGGAAACAGGTACCTGTAGTTGTTTGTGAGAGTCCACTTGTGCATGTAAAGTTTATCCATTTGGTATGGTATCCAAACAAAAAGTGCGCAATAATGGTTGTGAAGGGCCGAAGACCCGCCCCTCCCATTGAGGCAAGCGCCAGGGGTCCCAAAGCCTCGGAAAAAAAGAAAAAACCCTGACTGGCCAGCCCGCAAGCACCATGCAGAACTCCCACCCTGGACGAAGCCCGCACCAGGGGACGGCATTGACCAAGACCGAGACAGGGAGCCAGACACAAAGCCCTTCAAAGATCCGCAACCCACCCTCCCACCGGAAATGTACTCACTCCCCAACATTAACATTCAAACCACTCGCCAGACAAATGACAATAGACCCTCAGGCTGGGATCATTCCCCCTCCCTCCCCTTCCCCCACTAGCAGAGTGCACACCCTTGAAGGGGTAAGCATTTGCCATAGGAAGTTAATGTCGATACCCAGCCACCAGGTCAACAGGCCCCGAGGCCCCACAGCACACCAGAGGCCCCGCCGTGCTGGTGTGCCTCTGTGTGCTGTGGGGTGTACACCAGCCCAGACAAACGGGTGTACACCGGCCCAGACCCCAAGCAGCATACCCCACAGAAGCCAAACACCCTTCAGGGGCATCCGCCCGAGGGCAACTTACCCCAGGGAGCACGGAACCCCGGAGCCACCCAGCGGCAGCACAGCCACCAGGCCAGTAACCCACGTCCATCGCCACATAACCCCCAAAGAGCGCCGTTGTAGGATGCCTCGAGGCATCTCCAGCCCCGCCCCCATGGGGGCAACAGACTCTGTGGTGAGACCCACCAGGCACGCAACTCCGAGAACCCCCAGGACCCAGGGACCCCTGAACGCAGGACGCGTCCCACAGCCCCTTACTCCACTAAGTGATGGAGCTGATCAAGGGAGCCTAGAGAGATTGGTCTGATGGGGATTTAGATGCTGTCTCAAGTTTAATATTACAAAAGATCTCTATACTGATTGATGCTCAGTTTTTCCTTACTTTTCCAATTCATGAGGATAGTTTTCTTTGCGATACATAACGCAGTGAAAGCCATGCAAACAAATTTTTTCCCTCAAAGTCACCCAGCAGGCAAACTGATGGGGAAGGTGAAATTTTACCACTCAGGCACTGTGATAAGTCCTTACATACTTGTACACAGAACCTCTGAACCGGCGTGCATAACCGTAACGTGTGAATATAATTATCAAGTTGATTGCCTGTGCACTGTGGACAGATATTGGATTGTGCAAAACCCATCTTGAATATTCTTTGACCTGTATAGTGTACTCAACTACATATCTAAAGCAAAACACATGCAAAATCTGGTCATGCAAAGCCTATTGGCATGACCGATTTGCATGTCTGGGAAAGTATTAAGCTCACTTGAACGTTTAGACGTTTTGCCACATTTCAGGCTTGAAACAGAGCTAAAATTGTAATTTTTTTTGAAGAATCAAGAACACAATCATCAAGTGGAACAAAGTTTATTGGATATTTTAAACTTTTTCAACAAATGTATGTAATAATTAGGCAAATGTCAGGGTTCTGCCCTCTGTTTAATTTTATTTTGTTAGTTTCTTTGATATTTTCTGTCTGATCGTATTTCTTTAGTCACTCTCTGTAGCCCCCTTGGTCCTCTTCCTTCCCCCTGGCTTCCTCCTAGTTAGTTCTTTTCACACCTGCTCCATATCAGCTCATTACCCCATCCTTTGCTCTGTTCCCCATATATAAACCACCTCTGCAGTTCCTGATTGATGGTTTCTTGTTTTGTTGCTTTCTCGTATCTTGCTCCCCACGAGTATTTTCCTTGAAGTTTATTTGATGTTGTTTGGTTTTCAGTATTTTTGCATCTGTCTGGATTTTTGCCTCAATTGCCTGTAAGTCCTTAATTAAATCATCAAAACTCAACTTTGCCAACTCATCTCTGCATTTGAGTCATCAAAGCCTCCATCAAAACTGACAGAAGAAACCAGCCTAAATGGATCCAGCGGAAAAGGCAAGTGAACGTTTAAGACTCTGAAGAGTCACACTTGATTACCTGCCCACAATCAGATCACTTTGGAGGTGGGCGAGTGCTGCTGAAGAAGTAAGAAGGTACTACAGACTGGTCCAGAACGCCAAGCTTTTTTTCTTCACACAGGCTACTTTGCTTTAGCTGAGTGGAGAATACAACCTGCATTCTCTCAGCTTCTAAACAAATCACCACCCAAACCTTCACTCATCTGTTTACCTGCTATACCAGCTTCCGATCCCCAACTGACTTCTGCTTCCAAGAGCAGGCATCGCTGCTTGCAGAAAAATACTACTACAGGTCTGACGCCGCCACTCAATCTCCAGTGGATCTGTCCGACACCGCCACTTACTCTTCAGCGGGTCGGTCTGATGCCGCAGCCTCCTCCCCGTCAGATTGGTCTGACTCCGCTGTTCCCTCTCTTATTGGTCAGCCTGCTGCCGCCTCCAAGCCAGGTCAGTTTCCTTTGTGGTTTAAGTCGCCACCTTCAAGACTCCATGTTGTCCCCACCTCTAAGGACAATTAAACATTGAACCGGCCCAACACAATTTCAAATCATATCATCCCCACAGCCTGAGGATTCAGACCTTTTTGAGTTTTCTTTATGGGGAGATTCAGAATCTTTTCCCTTTCGTTCCACCTCCATCAGCTCCCTGACAGCCAGCCTTTCCTGAACCAGAGCCCCTTAGCGGATCAGATCCCAATTCAGAGCCCATTTGCAGCCCAGGTCCTGAGTCAGAGCGCCTTAGCGGGCCAGTTATCAAGTATGAGCCCGTTAGCGGGCCAGTTCCCGAGTCAGAGCCCCTTAGCGGGCCAGTTCCTGAGTCAGAGCTGCTCAACGGGTGCTCCTCACCTGTCCAAAGCTGCGTAGCCTCTGTGTGGGTCCCAAGCTGCGTAGCCTCTGTGTGGGTCCCAAGCTGCGCCGCCTCTTCGTGGGTCCCAAGCTGCGCCGCCTCTTTGTGGGTCCCAAGCTGTGCTGCCTCTTTGTGGGTCCTCAATGCTCCTGTGCCGCAGTCGGCAGTCCCCTATGCTCCTGCTGTCGCTGGCCTCCAAGGTTCCTGCTGCAGAGACGCCATCCTCCAAGGTTCCTGCTGCAGAGACGCCATCCTCCAAGGTTCATGCTACGGAGACACCATGCTTCAAGGTTCCTGCTGCAGAGACTGTTGCCTGTCGCACTGACTCCTATCATGATGAAGTCCTTTGAAAGGCTGGTTAAAGAACACATCGTCCCCAGTCTCCCCCAAACATTCGAACCATTCCAATTTGCCTACCAATGGAACCACTCCTCTGAGGATGCCATCTTCTCCGCTTTTCACCTGAGCCTGGCACACCTGGAAGAGAACACCCATGTGCAGATGCTGTTCCTGGCATTCAGTTCAGCTTTCAACACCATCATCCCACAGCGTCTGATAGGCAAACTGGAACAGCTGGGCTTCAATACACCCCTCTGCAATTGGCTGCTAGACTTCCTCACAAACAGACCTCAGTCAGGCCGGTTCAGACAGAACACCTCTGATGTTATCACCCTAAGCAGAGGCTCCCCTCAGGGCTGCATCCTTAGCCCTCTGCTGTTCACCCTGATGACACATGACTGCGTCCCCAAGTTTGCAGACGACACCACAGCATTGGGCCTCATCAGACACGACAATGACCACGACTACATAGAGGAATTGAAGCAGCTGATGAACTGGTGCAAAGGCAACCTGATCCTGAATGTGGAGAAAACGAAGGAAATCACTGTTGACTGTTGTTGACTGTAACAATATAAATGACCCCTCACGCCCCCACCATGGACTGTTCTTGTGCTGCCCTCTGGGAAGAGCCTTCGAAGTACCCGATGCAGGTCCAGCAGATTTCAAAACAGCTTATTCCCCACTGCCATTAAACTGCTGAATGTTGTATAAACCGGGGAAAAAATAAAAAAAATAAAAAGCCCTGAATGTTGGAAAAACTGTAAATCATATCTCACTTATGCTGACTTATGTTTACATTTAATCAATATTTTTACATCCACCAGAAGTCTTCCTTCATCGCCGTCCTCATGGCCGTTCTCCAGAGGTTCTCATTAGTCACCGTCCTCACAGCCAGATGCCTAGGACTATGCTTGGCCTCTGGCCTCACAGCTGGTCTCCAGAGACTCTGCCTCACCGTTGCCCACTTTTTGGTGGTTATTGTTTTTGTTTTGCCTTGCCCTGTTCCTTGCCCTCCTTCCTGGGCCCCCGTGTTTCTTTTTTGTTTTGGGCTTCGGGTTTGTTTTTGGACTCTTAAGTGCTGCTGGCATCCGCCCTTGAAGTGGGGGAGTTCTGTCAGAATTTTGCCCTCTGTTTAAGATTGTTTTTAGGGGGTGTGCAGGTGGGGCAGTGGTTAGTGCGCATGACCCGAATACGGAGGCCTTAGTCCTCAACACGGCCAACCTGGGTTTTAATCCCACCTGTGGTCCTTTTGTATGTCTCTCCCCCTCTCTCATACCCCTTTTTTCTGTCAGCCTACTGTCAAAAAATTAAAAAACGAGCCACTAGTGTCGTGAAAACTCAAAAAAAAAGAAATGTTTTTGTTATTTTATGTCTTTGTCGTTATTTTCTGGGAGTTTGGCATTTCTTTCTCTATTGCCCCCTTGTGCCTGTTCTTTTCCCCTTGGCCCCCCCCTAGTTAGTCCTATTCACACCTGCTCCATATCAGCTCCTTAGCCCATCCTTTGTTCTGTTCCCTATGTATACATCCCCTCTGCACCACCTCTGGTTTGTTGCTTCCTTTGGTACTGTTGGCTGGCTTGATTGCTCATTTCATTCATCTAGGTCTGCCTTTCCTCATCACTCATCAGACCCACCAGTTCCAGTTTCATATCTAAGCTGCCTGTTACCCAGCCTGATCTGTTTCTGAATTTGGACCCTTGAGCTTGTCTGACCCTGTTCTGATTAGTTTGCCTGCCCGTCTTTAGACTCCTTTTGGATTCTTCTTTGGACTGAACCTGTATGTGCCTCTTGTCTTCGCCCTGTGGATTATAATGTCTTCCTTCGTCAGCTCGGATCTTATCTTCTGTCAGCTCAGCAGCGTTCTGGGCTTCCGCATCTGGAATTCTCTGGCAGCATCTGCTGCGCATGTTAAGCCGACCAGATGAAATCATCCTCCTTCTCAGAGCACGGACTGAACTGTTAAACCAGGTTAGTGACTTGTGAGTTCATAATCATCATCTGTTAGATTATCGCAGTCACTAACCTATGTTTCTCTCCAATAGATATTCCTGCTTCAGTCGCCCTAGCTGCTTCAGAGCCGCTGCCACTGCAGAATCTACCGTTCCTTGTTTGAATAAATGCATTTTAAGTATTCCACTGTCTGTCTTGCCTGAATTCTGGGCCCTATGCTCTAAGCTTATTTTAGAAAGATAAACAATCACTCACGAATGCATTTAAATAGTGACACTGCAAATAATGAGTTAGTTCAGCTGTGCAGGACATTCGGCTCCAGGGTGGCCCAGCTAGAACAAACAAGGATAACAGTACTCATAAAATGGCTGCTACCATATGGCTGACAATGAGGTAGTTTGGAGCTAAGGGTGCCAGCCAATGCAGCAGTAGTAGCCTAACTCTTCAAACAAATAAAAAGAGCAGTTAAGCAGATAGTATCACATAGCATGAATGAGTGGATGCCTGAGTTTTGACAGAGGATTGTGTTGGAGTGTGGATAGACGGATAGAACTGATGGATGGCGGATATATAGAGCCATAAAGGAGCCAGTGAGCTGTTTTGATCCAGGAGGTTATGGTTGTTATGGTAGGGTTCTTGTTGGAGATGAAGGAGAAGCTCTAAGGGGTGAAGTTACCACATGGGTCAAACTCCCTGCGGTTGAAAGTCCACAACAGCCACATACTGGCCTCTGGTAACAAAAGAAATGTAGGTAACACAAATCCAACACAAATCCCAGCTGACTGACATTTACTAAAGTAACTGGCTGAAATAACCCTCAGTCTCCTTTCTTGTTTAGGCACCACTGTTTTATGCTTTCTATTGCCATACCGCATGATAATGGCATTTTTATTCTTACAGTTTCTCCTTGGCAGGGGGTGGCAAGCAATGTGCTCACAGTTTGGTTTAATATTAGGAGACTCGAGGAAGTTAGCCCCCTATTCGTTAGCAGACTCACAGTCAAACTGCTCCCTTCGGTCAGCTGATTCCCATGTGAGCTGGGTTTAATCTGTAGCCTGGTAATGATCATTCTGTCTTGTAAATTACTTTTAGGTCAGAAACTCTGTCCTCCAGGAAAGCGATTGTCTTTTCCTTCTTCACATGTTGATGTTGGAGAGTTTTCACATCATTTAAACTGCTCCAAAATACATTTTAGCTAAAGCCTGATAGCAGAAAGTCCCCTCAAGTTCCTTTATCAAAGGGTTTCTTCTTTGGTCCAAAGATTAAATTCAATTAATTTTTTTATCCATGTAAAAAAGCTTTAAGAATTCTAAGAAATGCTGCAAAAATTCAAACTGCCATACAAATCAGAAATTAGAACCAATGAAGACTTGACATATAGACTTGACTGAGGAGGCACAATAGAATATTATTGTCATGCAGAGTCTGAATACATGTGGTGCTATAAAAGTAAAGTATTACCCCAAACATTGTATCCAAGCAGTTCTTTACCATTGTGATAATGTGATGTTAATTGTGATGCAGCATTCTGCGCAGCTGTAGTTTATGACAAGTTATGGATTATAGATCACTTCTATCAGAATGGATTTGTTTTCCAGTGTTCCTAGTGCTTATGGGAATGTGTGTTATGGTTGTTTCAGGTGCTTCAGGAGAGGTTCACCAAGTTTTCCACAGAAACCAAGAGCATTGGTGAACAACGCATGGAACAGGTGAACAAAATGGTGAACGAGATGATTGACTGTGGCCACTCGGATGCAGCCACCATTGCTGAGTGGAAGGATGGTCTTAATGAGTCCTGGGCGGACCTCTTGGAACTCATGGAAACACGCAGGCAGATGCTGGCAGCATCCCAGCAGCTGCACAAGTTCTTCACTGACTGCAAAGAGGTAGAGTCAAAATGAACGATGTACAGTGAGACTCAGGAGTGGCACGTTCCTTTCCTCTGTATCAGACAGTCTGACGATGTATCAGGCTTCTATTTTAAGGTACCAGTGATGACGCTGCTTTTCTGTGCTGCAGGTCTTGGCTCAGATCATAGGGAAGATGAAGCAGCTGCCAGAGGTGAGAGCATGCCAGGCCAACATTACCAATCCAGCTACCCTACAGAGACTCATGCACTCCTTTGAGCATGCCCTTCAACTGCTAGTTGCACAGGCAAGTATTACAACTACTCTGTGTAAGCTGTAATGCAGGACAAAGCCTTGATAAGATTACAACTACCTAAAATGTAATAAATCCAACGCCCAATTTAAAGGTTATATAAAACATGATCTAGGCCGCTAACAAATTGTTTAGATTGTAGTCTCTAATCAAAGAAGATGTATTTAAAAGCTGTTTTTCTATGGGAATTTGATTGAAAAATAGCACAACTATTTTCGTCTTTAAAATCAGAAAAAAGCTTTATTGCATGTAAAAAGAATTTGCTTTGGCAAAAAGGTGCTTCACATAGACAAACATACAGCTGATATAAATGATATATGGATATATTTGGGTATATGTAGTGTGAAATATACCTAATGCAAGCCTTTAAGGTGAAATCAGGTCCAAAATGTCTTTTTCCAGGTGAGGCAGCTCCAAGAGAATGCTGCCCAGCTCAGGGCCATCTATGCTGGCGAAAAGGCAGAGACTATCATGGTGAAAGAACAGGAAATAATGGAAGCTTGGAAGGAACTACTGAGCTCTTGTGAAGCCAGTCGCATCCAAGTGACTTCTGTTACCGACAAGGTGCAGTTCTTCTCAGTGGTGCGTGAAAACCTAATGTGGATGGAAGGCATCATGGGCCAAATAAAATGGGATGAGCCAAGGTAAGACAAATGATAGGGTTAATGATAACAACCCCTTATTGTCCTAGAAATAAACCAACACAAGACACAAGTTAGGGGAGTGATGGCCGAGGTTTTAGAGAAGCATGCCTGTGCTCTGAGAAGGTTGCAAGTACCCGGTTTGATCCCGACAGCCTCCACTCCGGGTCTCGGTTCAAGACCCTTAACACCACACTGCTTCCCAGGTGCTGCACAATGGCAACCCACTGCTCCCCAAGAGCATGGTTAAATGCAGAGGTACATTTCTCCAATGTGAGATTAATAAAGATAAATTATTATTATTTTTATCAAGTTACTTTTCTGTAAAAGAAGAGAGTGGAACCAGACGGAGAATGACACTCCCTTACACATACAAAGGAGGGGATGCATTTTTATTGCGGGTGGTGATAAATCCCAACACAGCTGGCTGGATAAAGCATGACTCTTCCTTTTCTGGGAGAACCATTTCTTCTCCCTATTTCAAGTTAAAACAACATGATTTATATGTATATATAAAAAGGGAAACTGTACACAAACAGTCATACGTTTATATAACTGTTTTTATGAAATTGTGTAGAGAGCTGTTCTTAACAAAATTTCTTTTTGTTGACACTTGTGTGTACAAAATGACAAAATAAATCAGTCTAAGTCTAAGTCATAATATTCCTAGTAGGCCAAATGCCTGTAACTTAATACAAATAAAATGATGACATTTTAATTTTTCTAACAATTCCCTCCTGTTTATCATTTTATTTGCAATTGAAGCTTAACTTAAGTACTCATTACTTGCATGTCCCATTATCAATGAGACTGTCATTTTGTTAGGCATTTATTAAGGGAAAACTTTAAACTACGGGTTGTACTTCTTCTAGATGGGTTTTTGAAAGCTTTTGATATTGAAAATTATCATTTCCCATAGTTTTAGAAATCATAGACTTTAGGCATGGGATTACACAGGCAGTACAAAAAAGGATAATAATAAAGGGGGTCATTATTTTCAGCAAGAGGTGCCACCACAGCCTGACATGAGCAAGGAGAGGAAGTGCATTCTTACAGGAATAGCATCCTGGGACATGGCCTTTTGTAGATTCTTTAAGGCAGACATAGCTTCTGTAACATGACTTTCTTCAGCATCAGAAATATATGTACAGCAGGACGTTGTAATTGTCAGACACACACCGCTTTGGCAAGCAGTTAACATGTCCAAAACGTTTTTATTTTGTAGTACCATTGAACACATTTCACTAATTTGTTTGTTTTGTCCTTTATTGATGTCCATCCTAATGTTCAACTCGGTCTTCATTCTGTGATTCTTCATGCTGGGATTTGCCAACCCCCAACCCTGGGAAAAGTGAAGGTTTTGTTAGCTGTGCTCCAGTGCTTATGTTCGGAGGGAATGTAAGAACCCCATATGAGATCATGAGGTTGCAACATTGAGCTGGAGCTAAGCTCTCTTTTCCTCCTATTAGAGGGATGATGGTGCTCAGCCTGAGCTGAGATGATGACAATCTGGTCAGAAACAAACACAGGAGCACAGGTGCCTGACGAGTTTTCAGTTGACTTAAAAGTTGAGTTGTGGTTTCCAAGTAAAACTGTTGGTGTGCTTTCGATTAGGGAGGATGATGTAGACAGAGTGAGGGTAGAGGCCAGTGATGCTTTGGCATCCTGTTACATGTCCTACCTTCACCGTATCTTTCCTTCTAGGTGAGAGAATACACACTGGATGTGTCATTCCTTTAGGCATAACAGCCTTCATCTTGGTGGGCTAACCTAAAACATTGCTGATAGAGAACATTGACTTTACTCCTTTGCACACCCGTTCCATCATATTCTCTTCAGTTGTGGGGTTCATTAATGTAGCAGGCATAAACTGGAATGCACATGATGCAAAACAGATAGCCTGTGATGCATTCATGGGGGTTATGTATAAGGTAGGCTTCTTGGTAGACTAGGGTGGCCATTTCTATAGCACCAAAAAGGAGGACATTGTGCGGCATATCAATAAATTACTACGGTGTACATAAGAATCGGGTAAAGTCACATTTATAGTACAATTCTTAGTAGTTTAAAGATGATGCTGGTGTAGTTGAATAGAACAAAATATTAAAGAGATGTAAAAAAAGAATTGGTTCCCAGCATTTGTATTTATTTAATACATTGTGGTGTTTAAAAAGTGACTATTTTTTGACACGATTAATTTGAGCAGAACTGCTGCAATTGATCATAAAGCAGTTGTTTGGAAAATAAGCTTGAGGCGGAGAGAGAGCTAGAGAATAGGACAATACTGGAATGGCTGGAAAAGAGGAATTCGTGACATGGCTGCAGCCTGTCGAGAGTAAAGATGATTTCACCATGTTATCTATCTATCTATATATATATCTATATATATACACAAACTTGAGTCATGGAACTGTGCTTATAGCTCCTTATTTCATGTATACTAATAACTTGTGTACATGATACTTGTTGATGAAATTGAAATAATTTTAATTTCATCAACAAGTATCATGTACATCATGTTTCTAATAGCATTAAAATAGCATTAAATTAGAGTTCCTCATTCCGGTATAAACCCTGTGAACGTTTAATTTAATATGACATATTAAAAAAAATCCCCATCATCATCCAGCAGATGTTCAGTTTCTGCCCAAATATTTTCTTTCTGTTGTGGATTTTTGTAACAGGAATAAACAGAATTATCCATAGTTTGTATGAACTATGTTTGTTCTCCGCTTCCAAACTCATCATCTCTTCATCCATTCCTGCAATAAGAATTTTTTGGTCTGTTGAAGCACCAATAGTTTGCATCCAGTTATTTAATTAATTGCTCTTGATTTTGGGAATATATACGAACTATGCTCTAATTTCTAGTAACCGACCTGTTTTTACTATAATTTAATTTGACAAACCGGGTCCTCTCTACATTCTTTATCCTGTTTGGTGCGATTGCAATTGCGGGTCTTGATCTGGACTGACGGGAGCGGAGCCAAAAAGAGCTCAGTTCCGTATTTTGACGGTGAAGGACGGAGAAGACGTACGTGGGCAGAGACGTGCGGAGGAGTAGTGGAGGATGTGGAACAGCTCTAATTGATTTACATGACAGACAAGTACTCCGCACGACGTACTTGAGCGGAGCGGAGCACTGACGGTGTATGTGGAATCTGTGGGTAAAGGAGGGCAAATACACGTCCGGCTGGATGCGGCGCCGGACGCCGGACAGTGCAATGAAAATCCGGACTGTCCGCCCTAAAGCCGGACATCTGGCCACCCTATGGTAGACTTAGGCATGACAGAAAACACGTAGCAATCAGTGTTATTATGATGCAGGGCTACAGCCCTTGCATACATTTCCCATAGGTTGTCAACGTGGTGGTTTGGGATATTACCGTGCCAAATATTCATGGCAGTGGAGTGGATGAAACTCTTTCCTCTCTCACTCAGTGGGTCTGATCTGAAACAGACAATACATGCAACAGCCAAAACGCAAAGGAAGCCCCATCTTTTTTTTTTTTGCTGGGTTAGCAGAGATGTTAATTTTACCCAGGACTCTAAAGAACAGGGATCAGTTCATCATTTGATTTCTTCACCGAGATGAGTGACACTAAAAAAACCAAACCCCTTTGTAGTCGGACTTCCCCACTGTTCCAGCCTTAGGCCTTTAACACCCTCTGTAACTTACAGTGGCTGAGATTAATCCAGGATGGACTTTCAGCTGTTGGTGTGGTCAGGAACACTTGGAATGGTCCTTCCCACCATGAGCTCACCCAGTTCTTCCTTCTGATGACTTTGATGAACACCCAGTCCCCTGGTCTCACTGGTTATGGTTTATTTGAAGATAAAGGTCCTTCTGGCTGTCGATTTGCATCGGACACTTAGACTGCAACATTTCTCTTATTTCTTAGATGGCATTTGTGTTGTGAACCGGTAATTTGTACGATCTGCCATGTAATATTTCAAATGGAGTCAAACCACTGCTTGTTGGAGTTTTTCTCGTGAACAGTTTTAATAGGTCCAGGCACTCTTGCCATGGCCTCTTTGTTTCTTCCATACACCTTTTAAGCCTGGATTTAACTGTCCCATTTGTTCTTTCCACAAGGCCTGCACTTTGTGGATGATAAACACAGTGATTCTTTAAGGTTATTTGTAACCTGCTTGCCATTTGACTAATCACCTGCGTCACAAAATGTGGACCATTGTTTCTGTACATTTTCTGTGGGATGTCAAAGTTTGGAACTACAACATAGCTTTAGCTACTGTCAATGCATCCGCATGCTTTGCTGGGACTATTTCAACCCATTTTGAAAATGCATCAGTCATTACTAGACAGTATTTGGAAGGGCCACTTGGTGGTCTGGTTCATCAAAAGCCATATAATCCCTTTAAAGGGTCCTTGTGGTTTTGGAAACTGTCCCCATTGTGGTTTTAAATTAACTTGAGGATTATGTCTTACACAGATTGTACAGGCTTTACAAAAGTTTTTTGTACAAGAATTAAATTCATATGTGGTAAAATTTTGCTGTATTAAAGTTCTCATTCCTCCCTGTTGAGACATGGCAAGGCCCATAGCTCAAAATAGCTGCTGCTTTAAATAAGCTTTTAGGGAGAACTGTTTTGTTGCAAACTTTACAGAGTCCTTCTAGATTCACTGCTGCTCCATGTTTTTACCCACATTTGTTTTTCTGCAGTTGGCGCTGTTTGTTGTCTGTTTAATAACACTTCTAGATCATGCTTTGTTCTGTTTCTTGCTTTAAGAAAATATCAGAGGAGCCAAATTTTCCTGATCCTGCTTGTTTTGCAGTTTCATCTGCGAGCCTGCTTCCTTTTGACACTGCATCAGTTATTTTTGTGTGAGCTGTACATTTTAGTAAAGTTATTTTGTTTGGCAAATAAATTGCTTTCAGTAGTTTTGTAAGTAAGTCTGCATGTACTACTGTTTTGCCTGTTGAGGTTACCATGCCTCTGCGTTTATCTTGTTTTGCAAAGAAAAAGATAGTAGAAAATGC